TTTGTCCCATATTCACTTTGTCCCATATTCACTTTGTCTCATATTCAGTTTGTCCCATATTCACTTTGTCTCATATTCACTTTGTCTCATCGATGTCAACAAGCAGCAACGTCCTCTGTCCTTCACTCAACTAGAGTCAAACTACAGAGACACTTTCTGAGCAGTAACTGAAGCTCAGAGTCTCATGTGAGGATCCGTCTCCAGGACACGAGGACAATAATTCAATTCAATTCAATTTTATTTATATAGCGCCAATTCATAATTTACATTATCTCAAGGCACTTTACATTTAAAAGTCAAGACCTTAAAACAATATTAACATAGAGAAACCCAACAGTTCCCACAATGAGCAAGCACAGGCGACTGTGGAGGAAAAACTCCCTCATTAACAGGGAGAAACCTCTGGCAGAACCAGGCTCAATGTGGGCGGTCATCTGCCTCGACCGGTTGGGGTGAGGAAAGAAAAGTAAGGGGGGAGGAAAGGAGAGATGGGTMYAAAMCGGGGGAGAGAAGAGAGATGAGGTGGAGAGAGAGAGACCATAGATGCTGATGAACTGAAGACATCAACAGATTCTCTACATTAGAAGAAACAGTTTGTGACTTCCTGTTTAAAGTATTTGTACATGAGGACATGTCTGACAGAGATGAAGGAGCAGACACACACACACACACCTACCTCACTTTTTTATGAATGAGATGACGTCAACAACAAGCCCCTCCCCCATCGCTGCGGGAAAAACCTCACGATCAGAGAGAGAGAGAGAGAGAGAGAGAGAGAGAGAGGGGGGGGGTGAAACAAACGCATCCTCCTCTTCATCAGTGCACGTCATCAGAAGCTCCAGCTGAGCTCACGCACTCCGGTCCTGGATAGTTCCTGACAACACTGGGATATCATCATTGTACCACAGGGACCGGCTAATCACTGGAGAGATGAAGGTTTATATTGGTAAACTGTTCACGTGTGGAGCGTCACTGACTAATCCCTGGAAGAGCTGGTCGACAGGACGGCATCATGGCTCGTATCACTGGATGGTCCCAGTCTAATTCCTGGATAGTAGCTGACTAACTCAGCCTGTAGGGGCAGTCTTCTTCCTGAAAACTCCTCATCCTCTTTACCTATCCATTTAAAGCTTCATTAAATGGATCTTTGCTGGAGGTTGGGATCTGGCTAATACCTGGCAGCACTTTACTGCCACCGTGTCCCAGGACCTGGACATTTTGTGAAGCCTCCTACTGGGTCCAGGGTAATCTCTGGGTCAGTGTGTCTGGCATGTTCTGTTTCTGCCTGCAGAGTTCCCTGCTGAAGCTCCAGGCGCTGGAGGTGGAGGGCGGGCCCTCACTGGGTCCGTCCCCAGAGGAGAGCCCCCCTGCCCTGGGCAGCAAGGGGCAGAGGAGCCCCTGTGGCCCCGCGGAGCTCCGAGCGAAGGAGGAGAAGACCGTGGTCCTGTGTCACGGTGTCCCCCCAGAGGACAGCGGCCTGCCAGGTACCTGTCTGTTCCTGTCTGTGTCTGTACCTGTCTGTTCCTGTCTGTTCCTGTCTGTACCTGTCTGTTCCTGTCTG